ACACACACACACACACACACACACACACACACACACACACACACACAAATACTGACTGAGGCAAATTAACTAGTAACAGATTGGTAACACAGCTACCCAGGGGAGAAAATGACTCAAAGAATCTTGAACACAGAATGGTCCCTTTGTCAGCAGAAGAGATTGAACATGTGAGGGCTTGTCTGTGAGGACTGCAGGCCTGGACAACTGTTGTCATTGTCTGAGAGAAGCAAACAACAGAAAGGAGGAAGAAAGAATGAATTGTGGTGGGGCAGACCTTCCTTCTGCTGGTTGCTTCTCTGTGATAATGACATCATTTGTCGAGACCTGCAGTCTACACAGGCAAGCTCAGCCATGTTGAATTTCTTATGTGAAGAAGGGCACCAGTCTGTTTGACTCCTTGAGTCCTTTTTCCCAAGATAGCCATGTTACCAATCTGATATTGATAATTGCCTCAGTCAATGTTCAGGTGGAGGATTTACCTATCTTTGTTGATTTATGTACTTATTTTATTTTTAATATAATTTATTTTTTATTTTTATATGTATGGGGTTTTGCCTGCATGTGTGTTTTTGTCTTGTGTGTGTGGTACTTGCAGAGGTCAGAAGAGGGCACTGGATGATGCCCTAAACTGAAGTTAAAAAAGGTTGTGAGCTACTTTGTGGGTGCTGGGAATCAAACTCAGGTCCTCTGAAAGAGCAGACAGTGCTCTTAACTACTGAGCCTTCTCTTCAACTCCTTGTATATATATTAAATATTAAATATTGAATATTTAATCCCAAGTCAGTACCACTAACAGTTAGACCTCCATTCAGCCCTACTGATACTTGCACACAGTCACTTCTGTCATTGTCTTTTTACAAAGATAATCTCATTCATTCCTCCTTCTATACCCAACCATCATAAGGCTGTCTACATTGTGTACTTCCTTATCTCATTCTCTAGGCACTCCATATATTTCTCTAGGGAGTCTTTCTGGGGATTACTTTGTGACTCAGTATTGGGCCCACAGCACCCTAAGTAAATGAAAATAGCACTGGGGATGGGGGAGGCTGGAAAGGGAGGTTGCCTTTGGCAACTGTTCCTAAGTTGGTTGGATAATGCCTGCATCAGGCCAGAGTTCTTCTGTCTACTGAGTGAGAAGCAACTGTGCATGTCAGACAGAGAAATAAAGAAATCAACATGAGGCACAGTCATAATGTGGGTACTATTTAGCTAGAAATGGAGTGATGCACTAGTGCACACTGTACCCTGATTAGTCTTGCAAACAGTAAAAGAAGCCTGATTCAGGAGACACATGTGACATGATTACACATCCAGTCCAGAAAAAGCAATCTGCAGAGAAAGAAAGGTAGAAACCAGGGGTTAGGGGACATGATTCCTGATAGGGTGGAGTCTGGGGTTCATCTCTGGGGAGTAGTGAGAGAAGGTTGTGAATATATTTAAGAAGTGGATGCTCAGTACAAAAGGGTAGTGAAATGTACATTTTAAATGGTTATTTTATATCATGTGACTTTTATTTCAACTTAAAATTGAAAGCTAGATTATCAAGAGACTATTGAGGGGATAGGTGGTAGCCTTGTTGTTCAAAGCACAGGCTCTTAACTGTTTTAACCACTTGGATTTGACTCTTGGCTCTCCTAATTATGGACTTTATGTGTCTGCAAATGTTAATTGACTTCTCTATGTCTTCATTTCCTTATCTGTGAAGTGGAGGGAATGTGATGTAAAGATTAAATTTGCTAATACATGTATATAAGGCTTCCAGTGAGAACCATGGAAACTGTCAGCCATTTTGGTTCTTGGTATTTAGAGACCTTATTGTTTAGAGATTCAGGTCCACTTTCAATAGATATAGGCCAAGTCCACTATAGGGAGTATTGGTCAAGCAGGGGTCAGTTAGCCAGTTGTCTTAAAACAACACGGATTGCTCCATTTTTTTCTAAAGTCAGTTCCTGCTGAACAAGTTGCAAGTATCCTATAAGCCAGTGGGAACCAGTGCCTGTAAAGGCCTTGTCTATACAGCCAGATGGGGCCCAGTGAGGGTTAATAGCACCCAAGGTGCTTTGAAGATGCCCACCACAGGGTTAGGAACCAAGGTACTAGATGTTGCAAGAGATCTTGGTAGAACTTAACAACCACAGCTTCTCTTCTCAAACTTCAGAAAGTTGGAGATGCCTGGGCTGCCAGCGGTGTGTGACCTACCATCTTAGCAAATATCCACTGAGGAGCCCTTTCTTTCAAGAGTGAAAACCAAAGCTATAATACTGAAACAAGGCTCAAGGATATCAAGATATCCTTCACATTAGTTGAGATTTTAAAACTAGATTCAAAACTAACTATGGTACCATAGGCCTAGAATCCTAGTCCGTGGGAGGCAGAAGCATAAGGATCACTAGTTTAAAGCCTACCTGGGATATACAATGAAAATTTCCCTTAAAAATCCAAGGTCTGGAGATGTATTCCACTGATAGAGCACTTGCCCAGTATGGGCAAAGTCCTGGGCTTTATCCTTAATACTGAAAAATAAAATAACACCCAAAACCTGTGCACTAACAATATTTATAGCAGTAGTTCTCAACCTTCCTAATGCTGCAACCTTTTATACAGTTCATGTTATGTTGACCCCAACCAAAAATTATTTTGTTGTTACTTCATAACTGTAATTTTCCTACTATTATGAATCTTAATGTAAGTATCTGATATGCAAGATAACTGATATATGACCCTGTGAAAGGGTTCTTTGACTGCCAAAGGGGTCATGACCCACAAGTTGAAAACCACTGATTTATAGAGATCTGCTGCACAGAACAGAACCATACACACTTGAATGAGCACCAGTACCCAGCTAGGAATGGTACAGAATGAGTCACAGGAAGTTTTTGGTGGTCCCTTCATAGGCTTCACATGGGATACTCAACCCTGGCATCTTGGATATGAGAGATATCTGAGCTGCAGAATGGTAACAGTTTCATTAATTAAAAAATAATTAATTTTCAGAATTAGTTGTGATGGGAAGACCCATCCTGAATGTGGGCAATACCATCTCATGGGCTGGAGTCCCAGAATGAATAACAAGTAAAAGCTTCCTGTTATGCACTGTGATTAGCTGCTTCACATTCCTGCCACCTTGCCTTCCCTGTCATGACAGACTGAACCTTAAAACTGTGAGCCAAAATGAACCCTTTCTTCCTTAAGGGTTTTGGTTAAAGCAACAAACAAGATAGTCAATATAGCTACAGTCAATAGATCCAAAGCGGCATATGTGTATTGCTGGTCAGTGTCTGGGGTTTGGAGTCTTTGCACAGTTTGTCTGATCCTAAGCTCTGACTCTCTGCCTGCCATCGAGTTCTTGGCTAGACTGTGCTTCTCTGCAGCTCAGGGACCTCTTCAGCCCCACATAGTTATTGGCACAATTGGTTCATTATGTTCTAAAGTCCCTAATTTCTCACTGGCTGTGTTCTTGAAGACTGCTGGAATTCCTGGATTGTCATGAGCTAGCAGGACGGTTTCAAGAGCCACCATAGTTCTCACAAGAAAAGTGAGTGATGATGTCTGATGGTTTAACATCTAGCATTCCTGTCAGGGATCTGAGTCTGGCATGCAATGATCTGATGATCCCTCTCTCTCTACAGAAGCAGATACTCAAGGTAAACATGCTTTCTGAAGCCCTTGAGGATCTTTTCAAGCACCTAGTTAGTGCTGCCTCTCCATCCGTTTTTCTGAGCACCAAGCCTATGCCGGTTAAAGAAGCTCAGGTAAGCCCAGATCACAGGATGCAGGAGATTCTGAACTTGTTTCTAGTGTCTTCACTTCTCATGGTAGGACTGACAAAGCACAGGTAGATATTGCCCACAGTATTAGAATAGAGCCTCAAGATCAGAGCTCCGTGGCGGGAGATGTTACCAGGACACTCACTTTTCTTCTCACTTTCAGCTGGTGACTAGGGTCACAGGAATGTGAGAAGTCATCTTTACCTTCATTTGCTTATGATTGGCAGGCACAGCCCAAATAAGAACAACAGGAGGTTATAGACTTCCCTTTCAGAGGCATAAGGAAGGGGGCTCAGCCTTCCCAAATACCAGGGTCAGTTATACATCAACAGAAGTAGGAGCAAGTCTTAGCTACTGTATCTCCTAGTAATCCTGTTAATGTAGATTCTTACCGAGCAAAGAGAACTGTAACCACAAATATCAAAATTGGAGACAGTTTACAAAATAATTTTTGTTATTTTCGGAATTCATGGACCCCAAAACATAAGGATCTATCATATCTAATCACATTCTGAAATGAAATTGTCCAGTTTCATTAAATGCCACACCCATGGCAGGGTTCTCCAGAGAAATTGAGCACTTGAACATGGGGGTTAGAGAGATTTACAAGATATAATGTTTTGACTGATAAATACATGGTTCCAGCCCATGTCTGAAGCCTTGAACATGAGCAGAATTGATGGTTTGGCCCCAGTCCAGTCTGACCAGAGGCTCAGAGCTAGAAACCCAGGAGGACCAGTGTTTCTGCTTGATTCTAAAGCAGAAAAAAAACATGGCCTGGCTTGAGATGCCTGGAAAGAGGAATTCTTTCTCATTTGAGGGTGTCTCAGAGTTTTCTACTCAGGCCTGATGGGGTGAAGCTACACTAGGAATGGCCATCTATTCAATTCTGTCCATTTAAATATTGATCTCTTGGGCTACAGCTTAGTTGGAATAGTGCTTGCTTAGGATGCAGAATGCTTGAAACCCTGAATTCAGTTTCTAAGATCATATATCCTAGGCATGGTGACACAAGCCTATAATACCAGCACTCAGGAGGCAGAGGTCAGAGGATCAGAAGTTCAAGGTCATCCTGCATTATGAAATGACTCTGAGGTTAACTGAGTCTGACTAACACAATACCCTATCTCAAAAAAAAAAAAAATCTGCCCTGAATATTGATCTCATCCAAACCACCATCATAGAAACACCAGAATAGTATTGACCTGGGTGTTTATGGTTCAGAAGAGGGCTTCTCATAGCTCAGTGGTTAAAGCACTTACTGTGCCAGTATGAAGACTGGAATTTGGATCCCTAGAACCCAAAGTAAATGCCAGGTGGACATAGAGGTCTACCTATAATTCTAGCCTCAGAAGGCAGACACAAGGGATTCTTGGATCAAGCTGGCTGGCTGGAATAGCTGTATTGGTGAGCTGTATTGGAGAGACCCTTGCCTCATGACAAAGTATCTCATTTCCATTCTATCCCAGTGCTTTAAGGAAGTTTACAGTCCTTCTTAGCCTCTGGCATCTTCACTCACAGCAGGGAAGAGCCTGGTTCAGAACAGTGTTTGCTGGGTGGTACCCACGAGTGTCTCTGGAGATGATAGTAAGCATCCCCCAAGAAGTAGCTCAAGTTCAATCAGCACCTAGGATAGCTCCTGCAAGGCTTTCACTGTTCAGAGCCCAGCACCTCTCAGAGAACCTTCTAGGGTTTTAGGTTCTTATGCTAAATTTAAGAGCCCCTGTGAGTACTACTATGACAGCCAGTGCCTGAGGCCCCTTTGAGAATGGGATAAGACTGCACCTGCCTCTGCCCTCTCACTTGGGCAATGTCAGGGGCCCATAGATGTTCTTCCTGTGACAGGTGGACTCTGCCTGGAAGCAGGAAATGATCACAGGCTGATGGCCATTCATACCTGGGTGTTGTTCTGTCAGGTACCAGGGTAGACAGGGTTATCACTATTTGCAGGTTCTTCATTTGGGAATAGAAAAGGGTCACTGAAGAGGCAATAGAAATGTTCTATGAGGCAGGAACGTCAATTATAAGCTGACCCTGGAGGTTAGGTACTCCGTTCTGGTGTCCCTGAAGTTGGTTTCCCATATAGAAGCCAGTACCCTGGCCAACCCCTCATATCCTCACAGCTGTTGCCCTGCTTTTCTCCCCACAGACTCTTCAGTGCACTTCCTCCACTGCTCAGGAATCCTGCCCTCCCAAACCTCCAAGGGCTCATGAACTAAAATTGCAGGTGAAGAATATCCGAGTCTCCCTGCTAAACCACCCTGGTGCTTCAGGTGGGCACTGTTGCTGCCAGGGCCTCATGGGACTGTCCACTGCTGTGGGAGGGACCTTCCTTGACTGGAAAATCCTTATATTCCAACCTAGTTGGGTCTACAGTGTGATTCCTGCCTTCCTTGGCAGAAATATAGTGAAAAGTTTTGGTCTTTGGCTAATGGGCTTTCGGTCCAGAGGCCACAATCTATAACCCCCTTAGCACAGTGAGCAACTGTGGTTGGTAATTGCCAATCATACATACCCAGAGAGTTTCTGGAAAGAATTCTAAATGTTCCAGATTCAGAGAAAGGGTAGGTATTTGAAACAATGGCAATGCTAGCAACAGAATCTGAACAATATACAGGACATACATGCCATGAAGCATCACACTGCATCCCATAAGTATGCTAATGTTATAAGCAAACTCATTTGCATGAACATGAAGGTCAAGGGAAAGCAGTGTCGTGGTTGCTCTACCTGTTATCAGCCTGACAGATACTAGTTTTGGTTTCTTTTTAAAACTGAGCCAATAAAATCATGTTGAGCACTCCTGAGCCTCTGAGCAGTAAGGCTTCTGCTGTCCTAAAAAGTAGGGTATGTGAGTGACTGATGGGGAATCAGAAGGTATGGGCTCACTGATGCCTCTGGTGCTGCTGATGGGAGGAAGGCAGCTGTAGAGCCTTGGTCCTCCCCAGGGTTCCCTGTGATTACTGAGGCCCCCCAAGTTTAGCAGCCTGAAGCAGAACATGACTTTTTAATTGCAGCTTGATGTAAATGAGAATGGAAGTGAGGTTCTGGTCATTGTTTAAGAATGCTAGGAATTCTGGTCACCATTCGCAAAGGCGCTTCCAGTTTACAAGGCATAAAGGGGCCTTGAACTAGGTCTCTACAAAGCTGGCTACAGATGATGTTTTTGTGCAAGAGCTTGCATATTGCCTTTCATACCTGTATCACGTAGCAGCCGAGTGGGTCACCTGAACTATCAGGTAAGGGTGGGGTCCCAGCTTGGGATTCAGATGCTGTGATACCAGATCCCATTCCCTATCTATCCAAAGAATTCACCTTGTGAGTACAGAGTAAGATGCCCATATCTGGAAATAGATCTGAGTCTCACCTTGAGAAGGGACTGTGAAAGTTATCTCAGAGTCAGGCATTGTAGTAGTTACTGACCACAGAGGACTTCAGGACTAGTGCTATAGAGGCAACATTGTCTCAGAGCAGAACATCTATGAGATGTCAAGAACCCCCAAAGGCCCTTGGGTTAGAGGAAGAATAAAAACATCTGCTTGTCGTAAGTGGGAAATGAGTTTGTCTGTGAGGTGCACCCACAGTTTAAGCTTAGGACCAGCCGTCCTTTAGGTAGGCTGTTAGTCTTCTATAGAAGAGGGGCCAGAAGCCTCAGCACAGAGCATGTTGCTTCTAGGTGAGGCTCCATACCTGGGAGTCTTGCCTGCTTCCAGGACTGATGAACTTGATGGAAGGAAGTAGGACACTGGGGTCAGTCCAGGGCTGTTAACACTGTTATTGCTCCAGAATTGAGATTTTATAAATGGCAAATGACAGGAAGGTATTTTAGGTGGTAAGCTGAGGTTTTTGCTAATTTACCTTTCTTTGTGTAGGTAAGCAAAGTTTTACTGCAATTCAAAAATGAAAGCCAAACAATCTTGCTTTATCTGATCACAGGCAGCATTAGCTATGTGTGCGCAGCCCAGCTGAATGATCCAGCACAGCGGTTCATCAGCACCCTAGTGAGAAACACAACAGACCTCACATGGGAGGAGGAAGTCACTTTGTGAGTACAGCCTGCATCCCCAGGGGCCTGGCGGTGACAGCTAGGTCTGGTCAAGATGGACAGATCCTGGAATCATTGTATAGCACTGTTTATACTAAAAAATAATTAAAGACATAAAAACAAATTGTCTTGAGTTTCTGAAAGACAGCCAGCCCTGGGTAAAACATGGACTTCTTTTTAAAGGCAGCTCTGGGGAACTACCTTTCTCCTCTCCTCTCTCCTTTGTCACAAAGGACTGTTAAAAGATTCCCTGGTTCCCTTAGCAACCAGCCACAAAGAGCAAAAGAAAGGCTCCAACTGATGCCAACCTCTGGTGGAGAAAATTGAAAAAGGGGGATGTAGGTGCTAGTTTTTTAAAACTTTTATTTATGTTTCTTATGCCTCTTCTCCACCCCAATCCCTCCCAACATCAGGTAGGAAAGAAATGTTAGTGGGGAGAGGGGGTGTAGTTTTCCTTAGCTACTTCCTGTTGGTTAAGATTGTCAGGTTCTTGGGGCAACTCCAATCCTCCTTTCAGGATATCTCCAACTTCTTCTCATCACACTGCATCAACAATAACCAGGAGCAGCATTCTTCCTGGGAGCCCCCTCAACACGCTTTGTGCTCTGGCATTTATTCCCTCTCTGAGTCCTCAGAATTAAACTATCTGCAGTTGGCAAAGAGCCCCTCTCAGAGCCTGCACGAGGCAAATAGTTTGCTTCTGTGGAGAATCTGAATCAGCCCCATATACCACACCTGGGATTAAAACAAAACCATGTTTACATATCATAAAACAAAACTTCCACAATATTTCAACCTTTCCGTTTAAAAAACGGGGAGGGGATTTTCTTTTAATATGAATGAGAATTGCTGTTGCTTTCTTGAAAGGAGATGATCAAGGAACCAATTGCTTTTTGGATCAGTAGATTCTTCTATAACCTGGTAACTCTTAGCTCATACCTTTTGTTGTTGAGCCTCGAGCTAGGACTCCAAAGCTGTTTCCTAATGGCAAGAAATTACCTCCTGTGTCTCTCTTGGACATGCATTCAATAGTCAAATGACTCCTTTTATCAGAAATGGCTCTTTTGCTTCTCTGGTGGAATGTACTGTATTTCTCAGATTTAACACACCAGTCATTTTGAGCTCTTACCCCAAGACTGCTCCTCTGGAAGCTCAGTTTGCTCAAGAGTAACTATTATTATTATTATTATTATTATTATTATTATTATTATTATTATTA